ATGGTTTCATACTTAAAGAGGAGAGATTTAGTTTGGACTTAAGGAAACAGACGTATACAGTGAGGGTGGTGAGACACTGGCACAGGTTGCCCAGAGATGCAGTGGATGCTCTATCCCTGGAGACATCTAAGGTCAGGTTAGACTGGGCTCTGAGCAAACTGGTGTAGATGTAGGTGTCCCTGTTCACTGCAGGGGAGTTGGACTAGATGATTTTTAAAGGTTCCTTCTAACTCAAAGTGTTCTATAATTCTATAGTGAATAATAGGTGGCATCCACCTGCAGAATCTGCTGTTTCTCCTTGTAAATTCTCCTCAAAAACTGTGGGAGATCTGAAAGAGCGCTAAAGTGTGATGAATCCATTTAACATTTAGGCTTCGTGTTCAACTACAGGCACAAGATGCTGCCATCTGTATTTTAATTACTTGGGCCACATTTTCAAATAACAAATATGGGCAAATGCTAGTGTGTATTAAATGTGTATCTGACTTTGCAAAGGAGTGATCACCTTGGTGGAATAAGTTGGCCTGGCTAATAGCAAGTACAAGCACTAGTGAAAGAAAATGTCCTGTCTGAAAGAATGATGCCTGTAAAAATAAATGCAATAACTCTATAATTTGAACTACTGTGTTTTGGTGCTTGGCTTCATGGAGTCCGTTCTGTCGTGTGGCTGTCACAGAGAAATCTAGTGGTAGTAATTGAAGCCAGGCCTATTCTTCAAAGTTCTGCTGGCACAACTACATGTGTTTTGCGGAGAGGAAGGAATTACTTCCCCAATAATCCTGGAAGTGCCAGCAAAAGTCCTGCTGTTAGTACTGTTCATTGTGTTTGAGCATATTGTACAAACATCATTGAAACAGCTTCTTTCCCAGTGCAAACAACATATCCATCTGGAAGGCTTGCTTTCTTAGCTTAGCATTTTCTTGTTTGCCAATAAGGACTGTACTGTGGTGTCAGACAGAAGCATACAAGCATCTTCAAAGAACAATTTAAGAACAATTGTGGGCCACACAACAAAAAGCACTAGTGCAGTCATTTCATTTCTATGTGCAAACAGGGATATTCCCAGAAGAAAGGCTAGAACTAATGCCAAGAGATAGCACACCAACCCAAAGCAGTAATAACAGAGGTAATTCTGAGCTAGCACAATCTGCATAACTAAATCTCTTCATAACTTCATGCATGTTATATATATATATACACGAAAGGAATTTTTATTTTTTTCCAATTGAAATTCCTCCCTTCTGCCCTTCCTCCCTTCTTCCCTTCTTCCCTTCCTCCCTCTCTTCCTCCTTCCCTCCCTCCCTCCTTCCTCTGTCTCTCTCTGTCTTTTTCTTTTTTTCCCCGTGTCTCTCTTTCTTTCTCATTCTCATGAGTATACTTCCTGCAGAGATGCAGTTGTTTCTATTATGGAAGCAGTTTAAAAAAAGTCATTTATTTAGGTGAAAAACACAATTAAGTCTGTTTGTTCTATGATGATGCTTGTCCAATTTATTCTTCATGCCATTTATCTTAAGAGATCCCTGAAGTGACTGTAGTTCCTATTGAGGAAAATATTCTCCGAGTCTCTGATTTGTTTTTCTTTTTATACCCACCGTTTTGTGGATGAAATTTGGACTGTTCAGCTAGTTAACCATCTGTTATCCTCTCAAATTAGTTTCTTAAAATGTCTAGGTACAGTCCCAGAAATGGGAATGATCATTTAAAATTCTGCTCTGCAAAATCTTACTTCTTGGCAATGATTTGATGTTATTATTGAAGGAAGTTGGGATAGAAGTCCAAGCAATCTTTTCAGTTTATTGGAATATCATTTACTGTGCTACACAGATGTCCACATACTGCCCATCTGTCAAGGCTTATATTTACATAACCAGAGAAACTTCAGTGTAGGTTCCTTTCTTACTCAGTCATCAATCAGTCATTCTGTGTTGGTGCCATGATGTCTGTTTCTTTTTATTATCTGTTTGATCATCAGAAATAATAAAAATTCAATCTGAATATTTTCTGCAGGGGATCCTCAGGCTTCTTTTTTATTCTCCTTAACATTTTGGTTGTCTTGCATTTCTCCCTTGCTGTCTCAAAACAGCACCTCTTTTCTTTATTTACCATTTTGGCCACAGAGCAGACATACAGCAGAAGAGGGAAGCCAGATGATGTATTTCAGGAGAAGGACAAATGTCAGCTACTGCTTCCCTTTCTCATGCAATTGGAGTCATCTGCATGATCTTGTCTGAATGCCACCTACTTTTGGATTAGAGAACCCTGTTATTTTTTTTCTTTCTCCTGACTTGAAAGATATACTATACTTGGAAGTTTCCCATAGGTTTCACTTAGAAACCAATTTTATCAAGTTCTCTAAGACCTCCGTAGCTCCTTTCCCCACCATTAGTTGCTGCATACCAGGACTTGTAAACCAGGACCAGATTTGGCCAACAGCTTTTTGGTCTTTCAGAATTATTTCAATGACTCTCCCCATGGCAAAGTGTGAGCCCTTCTGGGATTACCCTGAAGTAGGGCTCAGATTAGACAGCCATCAGCTCTCAGGATGCCATTTGAGAATGATTTATACCGAGGACAAAATCGAAGGACACCCAAACTGAACTTGCTGGTATTTCTGTCACTAAAATATACTTCAGAGAAACATAATTTGACCATATACGATCTCTGAGGTACCTTCCAACCCTAGCAATCCTATGTTTCCCTGTGCCTGATCCAGTAAGTGGCAACCCTGCCCACAACAGGAGGGCTGGAACTAGCTGATCTTTAAGGTCCCTTCCAACCCAGCCTATTCTATGGTTCTGTTGTTTGTGATTTAAGTGTTAGGAGCAGAATGCACCCAGGCTGGCAGGGCTGGGTGACGAGGCTGGCCAGTGAGTAGGATCTACCCTTGGCCTGCACGTTCATAGCCAGGCATGGCACAGCTGTGACACAGATCCAGGGGAAGGGCTTGGGGCCAGCGAAGGAGTACTGGCTGAGGAAACCCACTGTCAGTTTCATGTCTTGTTTCATTTAATGGATTTATACAAAATTAAGAACAGGCATTAGGATATTATTGACACAAGGGACTAGCTGAAAGGTTTGTGGACCCAGCTGGGCTGGTCAAGCAGCCAGGGTAAGACTAGAGGACATTCCATGAGCAGCTCAAATGATGAGATAAAATGTTTGTATGATAGCATTAGCAGGACAGTGTTATGCTGTTACCTGCTTTTACCATCCAAACATAAGTTTCCCACACTATTGTGTAGGGACAGTTTTCCTTCTGAGACCACTCACTATTCAGCATTCTGGCCTGGATTTATTTTTCCCGTCAGACACCAGCTATAATTAAGTTCACAGACTTGGGTGAAAATTTTCACAGGACTCAAAAAGATTTCACATTATATTTTTGTGCTGCTTTCTATTCGAGGATCATGCAGTGCTCTACCACTGATTAACCGATCTTCCCATGGAGTTCTCTGACACAGACAAGGGCCATTATCGAAGCAGCAATTAACAGGGGGAGTGACATGAAGTTTGCCAGCACCCGTGGAGCCAAGACTGACACCAGTGCTGAGTTGAGGGGCTTCTCCAACAGTTCACATCTACTTCCCAGCTTCCCCACTCCAGTAATAAGACTTTTCTTGCTGTGAAGACTTTGATCGCTTCCAAGAAAAACATTTTAGCCTAGAGCTAGGTACTAAGCCTTTTAGGCAGACTGATAAGCAGGTGCAGAGTAGGAAACCTGTGTGGTAGACACAGTGTTTTCCTGCTTGGAAAAGCCAAGACATGGGGTTTCTTTCAGTGGGTCTGTATGTGCTGACCTTTTATTTGGCATGCAGACAGGAAAAATGGGGTTTTGATCTGGATGAGAACTACTGGATACCTGATCTGTAAAGATGTGAATCACAAAGGCTATGTATTAAAAAGACATGGTGGATCACACAGAGAGGAATGTATGTAGGTCACTGCAAAAGTAATGCTTCCTGTTTATTTCCTTAGAAACTACAACAGATACAAAGAGCACAATAATATTATTCGGTAGAGCAAATTCTCAGCTACAGAACCCTATTTTTCAACATAATCACCACCATTATCTACACTTTTTTACCAGTGATGTATAAGAAAAAGCCTGCATGCCACACTTGTAAAAATCTGCACTAGCAGAGGAGATCAACTGATGCTGTCACCAACAGCTGAAAAGCACCACCCACCTCTTCACTGTGCTCGTATCCACTGTTTGGTCTTCATCAATGTTCAGCATCAGTCAGTGTCAGAGGGTATCATTCCTTTATGCATGGAGGAATTCATTGAGACACCCTGGCTTCATCCACACTTCCATGTCAGATGCCATATGGACAGACTGCCCCTCTGCTACTATCTGTCACACAGCAACAACATGTAATAGAATATTGGTGAGAATGTTCAACCTCTATTGCCATACCATGAACATCCACCTCTGACATTGTGGGCCAACACTGTAAAGTAGGAGGCACTGCAATCAGAGCAGCCCTTGTAAATCTCAGATGAATACCTGTGTTTACTCAATTCTGACTTCAGTTTACATCTATTTAATATTTTCCTTTTTTATTCTTTTTTTTTTTCACCTGCTAACTTCAAAGATCAGGATGCTCATTTCCCTGCTGTGACATTTAATGACGTCATTGTCACCTAAGACAGAACACAAAGGGTTCTTTTCTCTCTTTTCCTATTTTTTTAAGGTTCATTGAAAGTAAATTAGGTAAACACTTCTGTTTATCTGTTAGTGCTCACATATGTTACAGAAAGACTTGAAAAAAAAAAGCTGATTGAGGTGGTAAGTGACCTCAGGGCAGGCATGCCAGGAGAGCTGATGGCTGTGGTCATTCAGGCCTATGTGGTGCAGGGACAAGGGCTGACAGCTTGCTCTGGGCAAGCTCCTGTTTGGGTGGGTTTCCATTCTGCCTATTCTAAGCAGAGTTCTGGTTTTATCCAGAGCCCTCAGAGGTCACAGATATCTGCTTCTAATGGTCTCTGCTTCCTTCTAGGTCAACGTGACTTCGATTTAGCTGATGCTCTCGATCACCCAGGTAGGTGTCCTTATTTTCCTATGGTATTTAGATCTAGTAATAAGTTTTAAGTGCTTTCTATTTTTCTTGAGATCTGGAACATGAAGAGGGTAGTACTGTAATTAAAAGCATGAAGGGCAGGGAAACACCAGAATTTTAATTTGCATACAACTGAAAACTGCTGCTTTTTCTGTTTTGTTTTGTTTTTAAAACATAACTTTTTGACATAAAATTATCTTTTCTCTTTAAAACAAATAACCAAAAAAAAAAAAAAAAAAAAGGGGGAGGGGGTTGGAAACATATCTCATCCTTTTTAGTTTAGTTTCTCTTTAGTTTATGATGCATAAAGATTTACTAAATACAGCTCTCTTAATTTGCAGATAATTTCTTTTGATAAGTTGAACAATGTTAAGAGTTTATTATTGTATTTTTTATATATATATATCATCGGGTCACACAGATGATATAATTACCAGGAAGCCCACAGTGATCAGAAGACCAACAAGACCTCTGATGAGTGAGTAATACAGACAACAGTCATGACTTGATATCCATTATACATAAGTATGTATAATGGATATTATACATTACAGTCTTGCGTGAGATTCTTGCTTGTATTTGTTAATGTGCCATTCCTAAGACAAGTTGTGTGAATTTGTGTCCTCTGTATGTAAAGTAAGTATTTTTTGGGCAACTACCAATTGCATGTCTTTATTATTTTCAGTGTCTTTTTTTTTTTTTTTTTTTTTTTTTTTTTTTTGCATTCTCTCTTCTTTTAGCATAAGTGTTCACGATGCTTGGTAACAGACTTGAATATTATCTAGTTTTGATTGCTACAATGACCTAAGTCAGAAAGGAAAAAAACTGAGAAGAGCAGAGAGGACTGAAAGGTTTCAGCTGTATTTTTGAGTATTAGCAATGATAACTTTTCAATGAATGGCTGTTACTGTTGGAAAAAAACAAACTCCAAACAACAACAAAACCACAAGCATATTTATGACATTTTATAACAACACAGATATTTTTCACCTAAATTACACTGAAGGAAACTGCATGAATCAGGAAATGCTGGATAACATTAGCCACAGAACAACTTTATACCTTTTCCTAACAAATATTACAGTAAGATTTTTAGGGTTAGATGTTCCACGTGATGCTGTTTCACTCTGTACAAGCAGGGCAGTGTTTTGTGAGCATGGTAGCCATTAGATCCTGTGCACTCTTTCTTCCCTCTTGCTTTTGCGAAGAGAATCTGTGTTTGACCTAGATTAGAAGCACCTATTGCAAGGTACAGTGAAGCCACTGCTCTCTACTTCCTTTAAAATCAGTGGGGAGTAATCAGCAAGTCTAACAACAGTTCAGGTAATCCTAAATGTGGATCAGTTCTCATCCTAATATAGACATTCAAAGTAGGTTACTTGAATCATGCCCTCAGAGACTCTGTCCTTAGTCATGCTAGGAGGCCAAGTCAGAAATCAATAGTTACAGTGACAGTCCAGTGAGAGGAATTGAGTTTTTGGGACTTCTGTTAGACATGTGACAGTGGGAGGGCTGCCCTACCTGAATCAACTTTGCTAATTCTTGGGAATGAAGAACTCGATGTCTTCCAGAGTGTATTTTGGAATCTCTCCTGGCATTAGTAAGGATTGCAGGCAGTTTAAAATTGATTAGAACAAATTTTTAGAAAGTTCTGAAATACGTTGCTGGGTTTGGAAATGTTCAGAGACACGATATAAAAGGGTGTCCTAACATGTACCTGATGTTTCATACTAACCTCGATGTTTCTTCTATGTCTCATTTAGCCAGTGTCACTGAGAAACATGTCTCGCTGAGATGATGATGTTGGTAGAGTAGGTCCAATTACTGTATGGGAATCACCGGCATTTCTTCCCACGTAAGAATCCCTGTCTGAGTTGAAGTTGCCCTGCAGGTATCTTTCAATGGAAGGGAAAGATTAAGTTTATTTTTGAAATCTCTAAATAAGTAGGTTTTAGCCACTCATAGCAATCCTACATTCTTATCTGTAAATCGGAGAGAGATGGATTTGAGGGCTGGACTATTAGTTTTTTACTGAGAGAGTGATGAGTCACTGGCACAGCCGCCCTGAGAACTGTGGTGCCCCATCCCTGGAGGTGGTCAAGGCCAGGTTGGACGGAGCCCTGGGCAGCGTGAGCTGGTCTGGGGCAGCCCTGCCCATGGCAGGGGGTTGGAACTGGAGGATCTTTAAGGTCCCTTCTAACCTAAGCCGTTCTGTCATTCTGTGATTCCATGATTTAGTTGTTGTACACTCAAACCCACACACTCAGGTACTCTGAGATTTTTGTGTTCAAGTTGTCTGGTGAGCATCATGTGCAACCCAGGATAAGGTATATCAGCTGCTAGCCCTTGTCATGCCTCTGTGGTTCTTCTTGATAAGAGATGACAAGTTAGCTTTTGAACAGATTCATACCTTCATACCTTTCACAAGTTATCAGCTATAATGGTAAGGTGCTCATAAACTTGCTTACTGAAGCGTCTCTGGACCTTAGGCCAGCATGCTGCCCACTGTCTATTTTTATCTATTTGGGATACATACACTATGCTTTTAGTCTGTTTTATGGATCAACTAGCAGGAAAATAATGGTATAGGTGATATGCTGCAACCTTTGTGTTTATAGTGCCCTTCTGCTTTTCTTCTGCTGACCTTTACTGCTGCCTTATCAGAATGCAGGCTTGCTGTTTTTGACAGAAACAGCACATTCCTCAATTTTACAGCTGAGAATGGTGACCTTTACCATCTGTTCTTTTAACCCTTTTCAGCTGTTTCTTCTTGTGCTTACAGACACCTTTCTATTCATATTTAATTCATATTGACCTCAGCATCTCTGTAGCAAATCTCTGCATGAAGCCTCCAGGGCAGAACCCTGCATTTTACTTGAATTCTTAGTTTTGATAATAGATTATTGCTTCTTAAAGTACTAGCCTTTGACATGGAGAGGTATTTTTGCAACGCAGCTCTGTTCTAGCTTGACAGGATTAACACCTAGTTTGACAAAACACATCTACTCATGCAGTATGAATATGATTATGTTCCTGTCAGATTTCCTGGAGACTTCAAAGCATTTCTGAGTATTCCTATTTACATAGGATGAGAATAGATACTGTGCAAAAAATAGCTTTCTTTGGACGGAAGGAAAGCATGAAAGCAGATAAGCACTGTGATGCCTAACGAAAAAAAATAGCATATGTTTGAATGTCTATCTAATTTTCTTTGGCAATTAGGATTATTATTATCTAGGTAGATTTTGCTTTTTCTTCAGATTCATGCAGATTTCCATATTTATTAGAAGCAAGAAAGTGATCTCTGGACTTAATAGCATCTCTCTGATATATTTCTGCATATGAATCAGTGACCTTTGAGAACTCACTGTTGTTCCACACACCCTGAAATATCACCTACATACTCTTTCCACACCTGAAAGGCTTGCATCTTATGCAGCTCAATGGCAAATTGTTTATTTAATGGAAAGTTCCATTTCAGCTACTGCAAGGCACATGCACAGTCTTAGGGAATGGTAACAGCCTGCTGATTCACTACATAATGTGCCCGTGCAGAATTTGAAGCACATTTTAATACTTTTATGGCTCTGCCAAAGATAAACAGATCATCACTCAACCTTAGAGAGGCACATATGATTACTTGAAGCACAATTTTTTTTCTATCACCATGATCCTTACACAAATTAGTTAATTCAATTCTGTCTCCCTAAGTAGGTTTATTACTTTCCAAGATTTTTTTCTAGAAATAGGTGCAACAAATTATACCTGAGACAAGTATACTGGTTTGACCTACAGACATAGAAGTTAATAAGTGTGAACAAATCAAACAAATCAATAGATGCACCTTAATGTTCTAACATAACTAATTTCACTTACATAACCTGCACGTATATGAAAGATGTACAGACTTTGCTTCTAATATAAAATTTATTCTGAAGGAATGCAACTTTTGTAATCGGAGTGGAAAGTATGATATAAATTGTTAATTCTTTTCTGGGCACATGTTAAATTTTACAAGGGTTTTTTTTTTTTTTTTTGAGAAAAGTGGAATATCTTACTTGGATTTGTGGGTATTATCTGAAAAAAAACATTGCTTGTCAACCATTGTTTTACATTTTCTGCTAATAACTGATGTTTCACTTCCCTCAAGAGGTCTGCCCTGCTTACTTATCTACGTCTTCTTCCTTTTCGTTTCTTAGACAATGATCTGCATTTAGGAGACGCGCTTGGTGGGGGTGAGTACTTTCTTCTTTTCTCAGATATGTTGTGATTAAGTGAGTTTGGGGGGTTTTTTAGTACTCTTTTTTTTTTTTGAAGCCTTTCTTGGACAAAAAGATTTAATGACTGCAACATGAGCTGTATTAAAGGAAGCCATACTCATGTACCAGAGGGCACCATGCAGAGTAGGGCACCAGGATGGGCTGTGTCTGGCTGCCAGCTACAGAGATTTGTGTGGTGGCCTATTTATACTAACTGAGATCTGCTGTGGTTAACATTGCCACATTGGAGTACCATGGCCACGGATGGAAACTGCACACATTGCCCAGTCAGCCGTCATGGTTCACAGAGACAGCCTCTAGCAGAAGGCTGAAGACAACAGATAACACCAGCAGTTCATTCAGCTATCATAAATTAATCTGCCAAAGATTAGGAATCAGAGGTGACAGTGAACAGAGATGAGTGTTTTAGCTCTGCTGGCCAAGAACCAGAACTGTGGGAAAGAATGGTTCAGAGGTGAGCACTGACAGATATGATGCAGTTTAGGTTTCAGGCAGTCAAGATACTGTAACCTGCTGTAACTTCCATTTATTTCTATAACATGCAAACCTCATCTAGGATGTATTTATAGCATGTGCTGAGGTATGTAAATGCATGACATCCAAGATGCTGGAAAATTTTGCACCTCATTTTACCTACTGTGTTTGGAGGTATACCTGTGAAGTACTCTAGAAAGGTTCTTGCACACTGTAATAATCTACAGCCTGAGTAGCATTGAATCAAGACCTAAAATTCTACTTGAATCAAGGTTACAGAAAATAAAAGCCAAACTAAATTAAAAAAAAAAAAAAAAAAAAAAAGAAGAAAAAGAAATGTAAGTCCTATTGCAATGGTCTGGTTTATTCATGTTTCAGACGCAGAGAATCATACTTCTTATATTGTTCAGGTTCTCCTCTAACATCTCATACCTATGCTGAATGACATTCATCCACACTTCAAAAGCTGGATATAGTTTTGTTGATAAGCCCCACATTTCTGCTGTCATTTCTTCCTGCTCATACTGATTGTTCCATTCTTCAAAGTTTTTACTGAATATGCTGATGAGATGATGGTTATAACATGTTGATTAAATTATTAAAAAATTACTTAAGTATCTTCTGTAAAAAAACATCTCATTGGTTAGCACATGATGTTTCTTTTGACTTTTATTTCTTTGGTCAATTTTCAGTTCATGTTTTTAATTGAAATTCACACATTATAATGGAATTAATGATATATACCTCATTATCAGTAGCTGTGAAGACATTATCTTCTCAGCATCTATGATGCACATGTACATCTTGTTGTGTTTAAAGAACACAATTGCAGTATGGTAATGGGGATGAAGAGTGACATTGGTAATTTTCCACTTTTGTGTGGAGTCTTAGTTTGGAACACATGGACAGAGCTAGTCTATTTTCCTATTAAATAGAATGAATTGGGCAAAGTCTGATTCAGCAAAGCTTTAAGAGTGTATCTAAAATCCATTGAATGCAGTAGGATAAATTCTTGCTTAAAGCTGAGCATATCTCTAAATAATTTGCTGAACCAGAGCTTTAAAACAGCTTACAAATAGAAGCGTTATGTTTAGCATGTAGGCAAGAAGAGGCCATAATGAAAGAGCATCTGACATGAGTTGGAGGTAAAAGAAAGATTTAAGGAGAGGGAGGGAAGATGCCATTTATTTCAGTAGCCTGACTTTGATTTTTCAGAGCTAAATTTGCTACCTGACTATGTGAGCAGTTAAATATGCTACTGACCTGGTTGGGGGCAGCATGAGGAGGCCTGCACTATGAAGTAAGAACAGCCATAGCCGTTTTTCCTCAGTCAGTCCATTACTCCAACGCTGTGTATGCAATTTGGAAACTGCTACTTGTGATCACATATCTTTCTCTATCCAGTTCCTCTCTTCCCAGTACTCTTGTGGAAATTAGATAAAATGCCAGCTCAAAAGGAAAAATGCTAAAATCTGAGTACATTTTGCACTGTTTAAAAGTATAAAATTCATCATGCAAGAGATGAATTCCGTATGTGTTCAGTGAAACTACTGTCTGGTTCATAACAATACCTTCTGAGGGCACAGAGACAACCTCGTGCCTCCTGACCAGCCCAGAACACTTTCAGGTCTGTGTCACTGCACCACTGACACCTGCAGTAGCATACTGTTCTTTCCAGCTGTCAGAATAAAGTAATATGAGCATGTGCCAGAATTACCAGAAATGTTTCCCTTGGACATTTTTTGAGCTCTTCTCTCATTTCAGTTTTGAAAAATTTCCATTTTCTAACTATCTTCAGTACCCTGCAATTTATTGACATATTGCTTGAAACTTTTTAACCTACTGACAAGGTTATTTTCTGAATTCAACAGGAACAGATGAGCAATATGCATACATTTTCAAGTTATCATACTCTTTATTTACAGCTCCCTGTTCTGTTTCTCCAACCATCTAACTATTTATTGTCAATAGGTGACATCCCAAGACAACCATTATACCCACCTCTTCCACCACGACCAGGAAGCCACAGTAATACTGGTAAGAATATTTTCTCCATAGAAAATCTAGCACTAGGAACTGTTCAGAGAAGATATGTTGAACTCTTTACTCTCTAATTTCTTTATTTATAATTTTTATTATTTTTATCTTCCTTCCTCCCTCCCTCCCTCCCTTCCTTTCCTTCCTTTCCTTCCTTTCCTTCCTTTCCTTCCTTTCCTTCCTTTCCTTCCTTTCCTTCCTTTTCTCACTATTCCTGACTCAGTGTTTGGAAAGATTTTCTGAGCTTTTGTTCTGGCACCATAAAGCTTTTCTGCCTCCCCAAAAGAGAGGACATCGACTTCTAAGCAACATGAAACTAATATTTATCTTGTTTCTCCTTTCATTTTGGGTATGTATACATGGAACCACGCTAAGGTTCAAATTTGACATCTACCTCTATGAAATGGATATGGCTACATACAAATCCATACTGAGATGGCTCTAGGGCATACAACAGGTGGGACAGGAGAGATGGATTTCAGATTGCTTTTGATTGTTGTCCCAGACACCCACTTAAATACAGTGGAGGTGATACATCTATCCTAGCTACTGTCACGTATATCATATTTACTGCTGCATGACTGTAGTGATGCTCTGTGGATATGCCCTTCTCAAGTCTTTCCTAGAAGAGACCTACTGACTTCCCACTACAAGAGCTGCTGGGATTTCAGATGTCCTTACTATATTAGGATACATTCTACTGAGGCCCAGGTTCACTCATCCCACTAGTGTCTACTTCTGTGAATAGAGCTGGGCCAGTTAATGAGCAGGGCTTTTGCATATTGTGTTTAGGAGCCTAAAGTGGCTCTGAGATTTGGACTTCTAAATACAGAACAAATTTAGCATATTTTCAAACATACGTGTCTTCATGCTCAGGATGGGTAGACAGCAACAGTTTTAGTACTTTAGCTTCTAGTGAATGTAAATGGGTGACTGCTCCTGTAAGACAGCTGCTGTATGGAAACTGGGATTTCTAAAGTCCCTCACCTTTCCCCAGAACTGTTACAAAAAAGCCAGAGAAGGGAACTGAAGATGTTACCACTGTTCAGATAATTTTGCAACAGAAATCCTAATTTTTATCTTGCAGGAGGATTTAACGACTTTGATCTCGTTGATGGGAAGCCTTTACCACCACACATTGCAGGTAGTATTTGACAATTTTCATTGCATTTTCTCTCTTAAATTTATAAATCAGAGCTCGCTGGTTTTGCTTAACACAAATGTTTATTACTGAAGGTGTAGGACAAGACTCTGCTATTTTTATTTAGACTAGTCATCTTTCTCCATGGCTTTTAGCACCAAGCTTTAGCTCCTTTGAAACATATCTCTAAATGCCTTGCAAGGATAAGCCAGAGCCTTGCAGGATTCATTCCTTCAAATTCTGTTTGGACAGTCCCAAAGAGGCTTCTACTGAGAACTGAAAGAAGACACTCCAAGTCTATGATCTTGACATAAATCATCTTATTGTCCAGAAGTAGAGGATAACAAGAGTAGAGTTGGCCTCCTATTTCCTTTAAATCAGTCTGACATAGACAGCTAAGGATTATCTTTTTGTTTATATTCTTCAGACAGTATTCTTCTACAAACATGAAGTGGCAGGAGGAAGGAACTCTATTCCTCCTACTGAAACTGATGCCAGTCAGGATTAGAATCAGAGCTTCTCTGTCACAGAATCCCACTCTAGCTGCCCCATTTCACATTGTAGGAAATGCAGAATACTTTGTTCTCAAAATATGATGAAAGACAATTTTTGATGAAACTTTATCCTCTATTGCAGGAGAAGAAGGGCATAATTTCAATCATGGTGGAAGCACGGGTATAGTAAATATTTTATTCTATAATTTGTTTCAGATCACCATAAACAGTGAGAAAATGTTAGCCTTATAAAAGTAGTACATATATTAAATGATGCTGTATGACACTGCTTTCATATCAGCTGAGTGTACCATAATTGCCAGTCTTCTGTTTAATTACTTAATTACTTAATGGATTTCCAATGTTTCACCATATGATTTTCAAAGTTTTGCAAAAAACACGTACTTGTAGGTAATATGCCTTAGTCATACTATTTCACTGCATCTGAAAAAAATCTCTCTTGTTTTCTACAGATTCAGGATTAATAGCTGGAGTTACATCTCCTATAATTTCTGCTTTTGTGATATTAGTTGTTGGATCTATTGCGGCCTACACAGCTTACAAGAACAACAAGCTTTGTTTCAAACCACGTGGTAAGACACAATTAGTCAATTTCTGTGTTGAAGAAGATGGGAATTTTACTAAAAAAAAATAAATAATTCTGTGGGGATAGAAATAAGCTAATTATGGCCAAACATTCTCTAGCCTGTATGTGATCTTGGGAATTCTCAGTCAAGTATAGGAAGCCACGATGTACCCAAAGGACAGATATACACCACTTCCTGAAAGGAATTGAGTAATGTGAAGTCTTTGCACCCATGGAGATGACTGACTGTTATGGCCCTGAGCCCACAGATCTGCTTGAATCACCTGCATCAGCCTCACATAGGGCTTCTCCATATGCCCTCTGTTCAGGGTTCCAATTTCAGCTCATTTCTTCCTTTCCTGGCCTTGTCTGCATCTCTAGTGTTCCTGCCCAGCCATGGTTCTGGATGGCTTTTTGGATTTCTTGACTTGGTCTTAGGCCTGGCTGGTTGTCTTGCATTTACCTGAAGCTCAGTGGGTTGCCCACAGGACCCTTCTGCCATCATCACCTTGCTCTGGCTTGCCCACTCCTAGTGTGGCGGGGTGGCACTGTGCTGGCTAGACTCTGGTCCACGCTGCCCTGTGAACATCCTTGGGAGCAGCCCCAGTCTTGCAGCTCCCTGGTGCTTAGCTGTCATAAAGGAATTTAAACTTCTGATTTTTGTTATCTATTCTATTATAGGACTGACAACCAATACATTTATCATGTATTAAAACATTCACTGGATTGTAAAGACATGAATGAAATGCAGAACACATATGGAAAATTCTTCTCTGTGCACATGGAGAAGTTTGCTAGGCTGAGTGATGCTGGTGATGCCACAGGGAACTCCAGAGGGGCCAGGTGTTCTCTGAACAGTACTACACAGGAGATACCCACCTGCATCCAAGGGGGGGGTGTTTTCAGGCCTGGGGATGAACTGTGGGAGGTTATTTGTGCCCCAAGGGATCTGACAGTCACTTTTTTTCTGTGTCTATAGCTAAGGTGTAACAAAAGCATCATGTCAGATGATGCAGTCTGTGACCCCCCTGCCCTCTGAAAAGAGGAAGGAGATAGAGGAAAGGGAAAAGCTGCCCATAGTTCTGTAGTGGTAAGAGGTTCCCACCTCATGCCTCAAGGGGACCTGGAGAAGAATGAGCACAGAAAGCAGCCGATGTAGAAGCACTGGCAAAGGATATCCATAGCAGAAATGATTCATGTTAATCTTCCTTCTTTTAGGTGGGGCCACAGTGTAAACTGCTGAAATGAAAACCGTCCTCTGATGACACACTCCTTTGGTTGGCGATGTTCTGCCCACAGATCTGACATTTTTTCCAGCTTCATAAGTCTGAGCAAAAAATTTTCCTCTAATGAATGTTTTGCGGAGGCACTGCAATTCCATTTTCTTTTACATGACGTTACTCTTAAACCTGGAGATTTACATCATCAAAGATGTACTTAAAATGTGCAGGATAAGTATTGCACTGTATTCATAAATGCTGGATAAGTATTTTAATTCAGGAGTTATTTTAAATGCAGAATTCCAGCTTAATATGAGCTAAAAATTAAAATATTTTGGTTTATGAGTGGTTTTTTTTTTTTTTTTTTTTTTTTCTTTTGTCAGCTTTTTTGGTTTATGAGTGAAGAATTTTTTTTCTTGTTTTCTAAATTGCCCAAAATAATTGATCATTCTGATAGGACAGAAATAAGAGAAATGCCATTTCCATTCACACATTTTGCATATTTCTGTATTGTCTGTGGTACTTAAGAAAAAACTGAAGTTGTGTAAATGATTGAGCATTTTAATGCCTTTACTTCGTATCTTATGTCTGAACTCTCACAAAGCAGAAAGAGCTATAGATGGAAAATACATTCTTAATTTTCAAATACAACATAAAAAGAACACGTGCACCGACGAACCACTGATTAAAATCAATAAAATGAGGAGAGCACAAGTTAATTGTATTTATTTATTTATTACTGAAATGGCATTTGGCTCTTCTCAGGGAACTGGAATCTGTTGTAAATTATGTTTTCCTTCTTGAAAAATTAGAAGCCTCCAAAGGCAACCTGATATATATTTTTTTCTTTCTTTCTTTTTATTTTAAGAAATGTGTTCTTCATAATTTCTTCGAGGGAAAACTAGATGCAGAGGTTTTGGAATCAGTTAGAACCAATCTGTGACATTTTGTCCTATGAATCTATGCTACCAACTTTTAAATGTTGTACATATCTTTTAGCAGAGGTATAGTTGATACTTTGAGTTTTGCTAGTGAGGCTGCTTCATCTTCTTCTCTTGCTCCTCATCAACCTTGCTGTATTAACAATGTTTGTAGGCAGACAAAAATTATCATCAAAACCTTTTCCGGTCTCTCTATCTTCAGGGAATGAAATGCAGGTGAGAAGCTGGCAAAACTAGTGGTTTAGTGACATAATTCTATCATATGGTTATTTTAACTAACTTATAAGCATAGAGGAAATACATGAAGAATGTATTTTCTTACAAATTTGCATGCACATGGACGTAGGTGTTTGTCGTGTTTGTTGAATTGTTGAGAGAAAGACATCGTCTGGACAGGTACACTTCATAAAATAAAACACTATTCTATCTCCGTGATATTTGACATGGATATTTCATATCTTTATTTTGATCCTGAATGTAAGAAGTTATCGCGTACATCAGCTCAAACATGGAAACACTTTGACAACATGCAAAGATCACGAGCAGCTTTGTGGCTACCGCTTTCAACTTATCACCAATAATATATTTTAATAGTTTTCCAGGACACGTGCTTTTTCTTTAAAGATACAAACTTCTCATGTTAATATTTATGAAAGTTACTATATGTTTTGTCAGGTAGATTTTAAAGCTTTTTGTGGTTACCACCTCCATTGCTTGTTTAACAATAAAAATATCCATGCTCGTTCTTTCTCTTGAAAATCTTCAATAAACACATACCCTGTTTTCCCTAAAATGAAATGAAGTTTGCTCGTTTTGTGAGTTATTTTATGGAATGTATGCTGGCTGGCTGGTACCTTGAATGTCTAAGCTGATGTGGGAGCTACTATTAGAGGAAAGAAAAAAAAGAAAAAGGAAACATCTTATGTATCTGTTGTTCAGGATCAGTGTTCAAGAAGGATTTATGTGCAGTTTTAAGAGCATAAAGATTTTTTTCTTTTAAAATGCTACTACAAATTATTTAAATTTGTTCTCAGTTTTTCCTAAACAATTTCTTATTCAGTTGAAATCGTTTCTGTTATTATTATTGTAAGTGAAGAGACAGATTTATTTATTTATTTATTTATTTATTTTTTAATGGAGAATTTGAACTTGAATTAGTCGGAACTCCCACTGAAAGTGTTTAACTTTCTCAAGTACTCCATCTAATGACATCAACACAGCAGTGTGCAGGCACTGCTTTCAGTGCTAATTTTGCTTCTAACTAGGATAACTTGGTATTTATATACAGGGAAGGAAAACAAAGTCGCTGTTAGAGCTCTGGGCCACAGAATCACAGAGTTGTAGGGGTTGGAAGGGACCTCTGGGGATCATCGAGTGCAAAGCCCCAGGTTGCACAGGTAGGCATCCAGGTGGGTCCTGAATATCTCCAGTGAAGGAGAGTTCACAACCTCTCTGAGCAGCCTGTTCCAGTGCTCCGTCACCCTCACAGTGGAGAAGTTCTTTTGCATGTTAGTACAGAACTTCTTATGTTCAAGCTTTAGGACGCTGCTCCTTGTCCTATCGCTAGAAACCACTGAGAAGAGCCTGGCCTCTAGCTGTCCCCGGTCTCCCTTCAGCTTTCTGGCTCACGGCCAACCTGCTGTCCACTACGACATCCACCGGCCCGGCCGAGGTGAGAGGAGGGCCAGGCTACGGACAACGACGAGAGAGCACCGCGTCACATTGCATCGCGCCGCGCCGTCAGGCGGCGCCATAGCGCTACAGCCACGCGTGGGGGGCAGCGGGCGGCCCAGGTGGGCGGCAGGTGCGGGGCTCCGCGCTCCTCGGGGCCGAGAAGGGAGCGACTCCCCCGCGTGAAAACTGGGGAGGGTCACGTCGTGCCAACCCTGCCGCTAATGCCGGTTTTCCGCCCCTGCGCACAGGAGTCCGCGCGAGCGTAATTCACCTCCCACTGTTTTCAGCGGGAACGAGGCTAATCCCATTTGGTGATTTACCAGCCCGGGGAAGCAGGCGAGGCGGGCGGAAGAGCTCGGTCCCCGCCCCGTTCGGCAGTGGCTCCGCGGCCGCACGATGTCCGGTGAGTACCGGTGAAGCCCTCGCTGCGCCCGCTCGCCCCCGGCTCCCCGCTGCACCGCACGGCGCTCCGGGCTCGGCGGGCTCCTCGTACGGCTCGCCCCGACGGCGGAGCGCGCTGCCAGCGGCAGGCCGCGCTGCGATTAGCGGCTCCGGATTAGGGTTGGAGCCATCTGGCTGGTGGGAGGAAAGGGCCCGAAGGGTGGGCGCCTGCTGCCTGCCCGCGTGCTGCTCGGCAGGGCTGGGCCCGCCTGGGGCTTCCCGAGGGGCAGGGGCACACAGAAGGGGACTCTGTTGCAAGGTTGTTTCAAAAGTTGTTTTGCGAGGAGTGAGGAAACTGAAGGTATCTAACGGCACGAGCTACGAAGTCCTCTGCCTTGTCCTGCCGACTGCTGTGTTCCTAGTTCAGTATGTTTTTTTCCTCAAAACGGGGTGTTACTCTTTTTATGTCACTCATCTGCGTATCATAATATTGTTGTGTTTGGTTTTTCACGGAGATTGCTTGGTGTCTCCTGTGTAACAGGATTGCAGGGTATTGACGCAGGATGTAACTGTTCCTAACTGGATGATATTTAATAATGTCTGCACAAAATGAGAGAGAAGTCCTCGCTGTCGCCTGTCCCCATGAGTCCTAATCCTGCCTGGTGACATTCAGTGCTGCTTTAGTAATGGGTGGTAGAGAACCTGTGTTTGGATCAGGCAGAACTTCATTAGACCATGAGAAACACTGCATGATGTCAGATGTTGATTTGTATTCTCTGTGGAGGTGTTGGCAGTGCCAGCATAAAACTCATTGTCAGTGTAAATGTTTCCTCTCTTGGACCCAGACCAGGGAAGCATGGGAATTAATACTGCCAGCTCATTTGATTACTATAGGGAGAACTGCCTATTTGCTGAAAATCTGCGTAACAATTTCTGATAGTGGCTTATGTAGCTGTTTTCATCGTTACTTGTTCTGCTACTTGTAACAAAATCCATCCTGACTGCTTCTGTAGTCCTGGGTGCCGCTGGAGCAGAGCGTCCTGTTCCACATGCTTCTAGTGATTAATGCTAAGTCAGAGGTCAGGAAACTTGTGACCAACAAGAACATGACCAGCAGGTCGAGGGAGGTGATTCTCCACCTCTACCTGGCCCTGGTGAGACTGCATCTGCAGTACTGTGCCCAGTTCTGGGCTGCTCAGTTCAAGAAAGACAGGGCACTTCTAGAGAGTCCGGCAGAGGGTTGCAAAGATTATTAGGGGCCTGGAGTTTCTGCATGAGCAATGGGGCTTTTCAGCCTGGAGAAGAGATTGGCTGAAGAGTGTTCCTATCAACACCAATAAGTATAAATACCTGTATCAGTATAAGATCAGAGTCAAATGGATGGGGCCAGGCTTCAGTGGCACGTGCAGTAATAGAACAAGGGGCAGTGGGCACAAACTGGAACATAGGAAGTTTCCCACAAACATGAAGAAAACTTATTTACAGTGAGGGTGACAGAACCCTGGAACAGGCTGCCCAGAGAGCTTGTGGAATCTCCTCTGCAGAGATGTGAGATCTACCTGAACACTTTCCCATACAGCCTACTGTAAGGAATCTGCTTTAGCAGGTGCTTAGACTTGATCTCTCGGAGCCCCTTCCACTCCATATGGTTCTGTGATTCTGTGACTTACTTTGCAGCAGTCTAATGCACCTTCACAAAAAAGGCCTGGCCCAGGCTGTAGTGTGCCTGCCCTACACAGATGGCAGCTGCAACAGAAGGGGAAAGTAAGATGAGAACAGCAGATAGTATCAGCGAGGAATGTGGGAAAACATTGAGCCAGTGTTAGTTTGCCAGGCAGAACACTCGGAACATAATCAGCCTATTGGGGATGTTTAGCTATTTTATGTACCCTTCTTAAGATAGCATCGTGTTATTTAGAGTAGTTTTGTAGGAAAGCTGTAGTATATGAGTCTCTGGCTCCCATTGCAGTTATTGCAGTTGCAGAGTGGGCAACTTCGCAAACTGAAGTTGTTACTCTAGGAGCAACTGCTAGAGCACGTCTAACATTTCTCTATCAGGAGACAGAAATATGTTTACAAAGCTGTGTCAATTGGATTATGAAACTTGGTTTGAAGCTGGTAGGTGTATGTGTTTCATTTAGTGCTTATTACTGAGTCACTCCTACATCTCATTGGTGTTTGATCATTCTCTGTCTCCCTTTTACCCTGACCATCAAAGGGAGCACTGCTCAATCTGCATGCTGGTGTGGATTCCAAGGTTTTTATGCAGCCCTAGAACTGGTTTTCAGGTCTGTTTAAGAATATTGCCTCTGGCAGCTCTGTCTGAAGTACTGCTGTGAGTAAGTAGCGTAAGAAGTTGGTTGGTTGCTGTCGACTAAAAAGCTGTAACACCCAAAATCACCCAGCCTATTGCGGTTCATATAACTTTGGTGATAGATTTTTACAGGCCACTCTGCAGCTTTGATAGCAGCACAGAGAAGATGGGAAAAGTAATTTGCTTGAACGTCTGACCTGTTCTGAGAAACTATTGCAGTGCCAACAGCGATTTCTAAATTTGCATCTCCAGGTTGCTGCGTGGTAATCTAGGCAAGAGAAGTGAGCAGACTGATACATTCATACAACATAGTTATAATGTGCTTCTGATCGTACACAGACTTTTCTTGTAATTCACAGAGTCGCCGTAGGGCTCCACAGCTTGAAAACAATTTGCTTGAAAACATAATGCTGTTCACACTAGGTATTTCCTGTGAGAAAGCCTGGTGTAATCCAGCACAAAGAGCTGAAAGCAAAGCTGCACTTGGCAGTGAAAAAAAACATATATATGCATATGTATAGTCACAATGAATTTTAAATACCCACACCCCTGGCCTTCAAACTTGATAGATCAAATATTGCTGCTTTTGCAACTTGAAATCAGTGGTGAGTCTCTCAGTACATTAAATTTTATGCAACGTTTCCCTTGATTTAATTTAAATGGAGATTTCAGGTGAGGAGTTTGCTTACACAGCTTGGTATGAAAATCTGATCTGTAGTTTTGACTTTTTAGAAATACAATTTTTACAGGGGCAGTTTCGAGGAATATTCTAAACAAGGAAATTCAAGTAACACTTCTGTCCTTTGAAAGCATGGTATGAGATGAAAAGAGACGTAATGATAGAATCTTTTGATTTTAACTGATACTTCTGCATGATTTTAAAACAGCGAGCATATGCTTCTTGTTGCATCAGTAATGTTTTAATGTCGCTTTGTTTCAGTCAGTAGTTTGACTGCCTGTTTAATTAACTTTATAATGGTTTCCTGTATTAAGAGGACCATAGTATGTGTCCTACAGCAGATTCTCAGAAGAGGCGATTGGTTTCTTTTCCTTGGCAAGTATTAGCCAGAGCTCTTAGAAGCTGTCTGCTTCCTTGTAGTTCTGACCACAGCTTTGCTCCAAGAAGGACTGAGCAGGAAAGCATGCGTAACTTGCCATGCCAACCTGCTGAACTGTTCCTTGAGTAGCTTGTGTAGTTCTGGATGGGCTATTTATGCAAATATTTGGCTTCTGTAGCGAAAAGAATTTGCAGAGGCAATAAGGAGTTTGTGCTCGGTTTTATGGTTGTTATTTAAAATAGTGTCTGAAGATTTAAACACCTACTGGTTTCACAGTTTGCTTTCTGTACTAGCCTACCCCCCGCCTTCCTCTCAGTAGTTGTTTTATTACCTTTTTATTTTATTTATTTATTTTTGGCTGGAGATGCTTGTTGCCCAACACAAAAGCATCTTTCTTTGCTGAGTCTCGGTGCCTTTTGAGAATAATTTTATTGCTCGGGTGACCTTTGGGTTTTATGTATTTGTGTATGTGTGTGGCTTTTCCCCCTTCTTTGGGGGGTGTGTGGGAGCAGTATTTATTTTTAATGCATGCTTGTATTTGTTTAATCTCTTGGAAAACTGCAGTAGGAACAGCTAATGTGAACAACTGTCCTTACAAACCACTCCCTGTGAGCACCTCCTGTTCATTTTCTGAACTTCCACAACTTGCTCGAGCTGTTGTGCTAACGGGAGATGCAGATGTTTCCACAGCGAAGGCTCCTTTTTACTTTACTTGCATCTTCTCAGAATTGTGATTAAAACGGTTATTGGAATTTGTTTAGCTGAAAGATCTGCAAACTTTTTTATGTTTTGATGAATGGTTGAGTGTTCAGACAAAGAGAATGGTCAGCTGGATGAGGGAGCTGATCCTCCCTCTCTACTCTGCCACAGCTGGAGTTCTGTGTCCAGTTCTGAGCTCCTTGGTTCAAGAATGACAGGAACTTGAGAGTCTGGCAGAGCGCTATAAAGATAATTAGGGGCCTGGGGCATCTCCCTTATGAGGAAAGGCTGAGAGACCTGGGGCTGTTCAGTCTGGAGAACAGAAGGCTGAGGGATGATCTTATGAATGCTTATAAATATCTAAAGTGCAGGAGGCAAATGGATGGGACCAGGCTCTTTTCAGCAGTGCCCAGCAACAGAACAACAGGCAATTAACACAAACTGGAACGTAGGAATTTCTGTGTGAACATAAGGAAGACCTTTACTGCGAGGGTGACAGAGCAGTGGAACAGGCTGCCTGAGAGGCTGTGGAGTCTTTCTCTGGAGGTATTCAAGACCCACCTGGACGCTTTCCTCTGCAACCTGCTATTCATAACCTGCTTACCTAGGAGTTGGACTAGATAATCTCCAGAGGTCTCTTCAGACCCCTATGATTCTGTGTTACTGAGATTGTCCCGAGTCACAGGGACATGTGGTAGTATAAAACTGTAGTACCGAGTTCAGGGTCTGGCTGGAGATGAGTGAGTGGCAGAAAAGAAGCAGAGGGAGAGGTCAGCATGCCAGCAGGTCTGTGTTTCCTTCTGGATATGGATGATATGGAAAATGGAAATGCTTAATATCCAAGGGTTTATCACAGGCACCAAGCATACTTCATTGCATACCTTAATGTTATGCTATATTATGTTAGAGGTTTCAACTCGCTCATTTTGGCAGCCTGTTTCTGAGGCAGTCATGAGGTCATTCATTGGGCTCTCTGCCACTGGTTCTGTGAGATTCTTTCACAGCGTCTCTCACAGAGCCTGGAAACTGAGTGACATGGTGTTTTGGTGTTGTTATATAATAATGAATTTAGTATCACTGTGTGTCCCTTGAAGTGGTGGTGGTTTTCTAAAAGTAGCTCAACACAAACACGGAAGCTCTGTTGAGCTCACTGGAATTCCCCTCATCCTGTGTGACCCCATTGCTTAGTTCTGGTTAATTTTGCAGCTGAGCTATTCCTTCATCTCTGAGAGATGCCGTTCACCTCACAATGTTTGAGTTGTGAGTTGAGTAGCTCACCCCAGAAATACAGTAAGGGTTGCTCTGTTGGAGGACAGAACTGAAGAGCAGAAGGTAGTGGTACTGCCAGATGCCTGGTATCCCTACAGAACACACTGTATCTGATGTCGTGCTACAGTGTAGTTTTCCTTCTTTATTTAGAGTGACTCTTTTCTTCCAAATGTTTACTGATTCTGAAGAACTTTTTTTAAGTTACTTAAGCTAAGGATCCTTAGCTTTTGGTAAGGGATGCCAACCCTAACATCACTTTCTCCATGCATGTTGGTAGATACCAGTTGTTCAGCCAGGTACTCCATTACAAATTGGATAAAGCAAAAATGTTCCTAAATGTTTATTCAGTGAGGTCATGGAAAGAAGGGTATTTCTGCTTACTACTTTACATCCTGTGTTTTTTTCCCTTAGCTTTTGGCACTGTATAAACAGAAAGGAAAAAATAATCAGTTGTGTTACATATTATGTGAAATAAATGTACAGTCTAAATACGTATAGATCAGCTCTTTCAAATTGCCAGTAAGTTTAGGCAGATGTGACTTAGGGAGTTACTTGTTTAAAGCTACTCTGAAAACTTCATGATATTATGCGAATGACACAAAATAATAACATCCAGAGGCATAGATTCTGCAATCATATTTACTGGATTTTTCTATTCAGTTTTGTCCTTTGGGGGAGTTTGGAAAAGAGAGGCTTATCGCAGGAGCTGCAGGTTGTTATAAGCTGTAGCCTAATGGCTAGCTGGAGGAGGGAGATTGTAGGAACCTGCCAAAAGAGCTTACATTAAATCTGTAAAGTGACTCTTCTAAATTTTTATTCACAGTAACGGATCAGGCCTTTGTGACTCTTGCTACTGATGATGTGTATTGCCAAGGAGCTCTGGTTCTTGGACAGTCATTGAGGAACCATACAACATCTAGAAAACTAGCAGTACTGATCACACCAGAGGTCTCCAGTGGAATGAGGTAAGAATTTGTGTGCTTTTGAAGGCTCACAATGTGGGAAAATAAACAATAACATAAAAGATTTAAATGGGTTTCCTTAGGATTTCACAGCATTATGAGTAGAAATTCCCAAATGGCTAATGGTTTCTGAGGGGAGTCCCATATCACATCCAGGGTAAGGCTGTGTGCCTAATAAGTGTTTACTTGCAAAAGTAGAGCTTGTGGATGGAAGCTGATACTTGAGCCCATAATTGGGAACACCAACTGAAAATTTATAAAAAACTAGAGTTTTACTGTCTTGCTTTCTTTTTTTCTTTTTCCTTCTCTAATTGCTTCTCATTTAGAAAGAGCAAGATATCTACCAGCCACGACATTAGAACTCTCCAAGACATCAGTGGCTCAACTTCAGATGTCTTCCGCATGATGATGAGACATACCCTTCTCCCTCTTTTTAAAAATCATTGTAATTCTACAAGCATGGCAGAATTGTGTGTACAGAAATCTCAATTAAATCAGTTGAACTTTAGCCCTGATATTTGGAGAACTGAGCTTTTTTAATTAAAAAGAAGATGACATACCATAATTGCTTGTGTTCTTAGTTCTGCTGTGGATTAGGAAGTGTGCAAGCTCCCAGCTTCTATATGCTGTGCAAAATTGTTAACAAGACATCTGTCTCAAGAAACATATTTTCCTTTCTTTTTTTTTTTTTTTTTTAAAATTATAGGTTTTTTAAAAATGTTGTAGTTTTCCTAAGAGAGGTCTTTTTTTTTTTTTTTTTTTTTTTTTTTTTCCCCTTTTTCTTTTTTTTGGGGGGGAAAAAAATTTTTTTTTTTTTTTTTTTTTTAGGCAAGGTTAGCACTTGAAAACGTTTGTCTCTGAACTAACCTTCTGTATCTATATTTAATACTTTCACAGTTAACTTCTGCCCCTCATATATCAGTCAAGCAAAATGTAGTGACTTTGAAATCTAGATAATAAGCACAGGCTTTTCTTCTTCTGTGCTTGAGTGACAGCTAGGAGTTTGTAGTTGATAGTGTAATATAAATAAACTGTGTTTAAAAGCTTTTCCTTCTTGTACCTTGTGGGAATATTATCTCCTTTGATATCCTCTATTAAATTTGTGTGGAAGAGATGCTCACTACTACAAATAATCTCAAATTAGACTTCAAGAGACTGGAGCACCTCCCCTGTGAAGACAGGCTGAGGGAGCTGGGCTTGTTCAGCCTGGAGAATAGAAGGTTGTGGGGTGACCTCATTGCAGCATTTCAATACCTAAAGGGAGCCTACAAACAGGAGGGGAATCAACTCTTTCAAAGGGTAGATAACAGCAGGACAAGGGGAAATGGTTTTAAGTTGAGGGAGGGAAGATTTAGGTTGGGTGTCAGGGGGAAGTTCTTTACAGAGAGAGTGGTGAGGTGCTGGAACAGGCTGCCCAGAGAGGTTGTGGATGCCCTGTCCCTGGAGGTGTTTAAGGCCAGGTTGGATGGGGCCCTGGGCAGCCTGGTCTAGTATTAAATGGGGACGTTTGTGGCCCTGCATGTGGCAGGGGGGTTGGAGATTCATGATCCTTGAGGTCCCTTCCAACCCTGGCCATTCTGTGATTCTAAGAAGACTTCTTTTCTCTGTGCAAGTATGTGCCGTCTGTTTTAAAGGCTGTTTTTGCTCTGGCACAACAGGTGCAAAGAGACAGTACCTGCCACGTCCTGTACGATGTAGAGATGGTACGGTATGTATGGTATGGTGCTGTCACAATTGTGAAGAAATGAAAGCTCCTTTAATTTCTGTCAGTGTTTCTATAGGAGACTAAGTAATTAAGGTGTGGGTTGATTTCTCCTCTGTACAGTACCTTTAGGTTTTGAGATGGGTTGGCCCCTTACTGAAAGAAGCAGTGGCTTACAGCCCGGTGTTATTCTAAGCATCAGTCTAACCTTTGTTACTGTCACAATAAAAGCTGTGTCAGTGTTTTTATGAAAAAGGTGGTGAACCTCAATAAGTTCCCTTCTTTCTCTCCACTGTTTGCTCTGGTAGGTCTGTCCTGCGCAGCGTGTTTGATGAAGTCACTGAGGTGGATGCACTTGACAGTGCTGACTCGGTCCGTTTGGCTCTGTTGCAGAGGCCAGAACTGGGTGTAACCTTCACTAAACTTCACTGCTGGACTCTTACTCATTATAGCAAATGTGTCTTCATGGATGCAGATACCTTGGTGAGTAGAGCTCCCGGGAGCTGTGGTGTGGTTTGCGTCTGTCTTAGACGTGCTCTGAGTGTGTGCTTCCTCATCCGGCAGCCCAGTGGCCTAGCAAGTGACTGTATTTGCTGGGGGTCATAAGGCTGCAGAGGCTCCAGCTGGATATTTTGACTGACAGCTTGGCTGCCTGCAGAGAAGTGGATCCTGTTTCGAGAGTAGCTTCCAGACTGTCCTCGAAAGATATCATGAACACATTGTATGCAAATTGGCTTCTGACAGATGTTTAAAATAGTTCTCTGTCAAATTCTGCTTGGAATTACTCTGGTCAGGAAGGCTGGCAAGTTATAAAAAGGAGAGGAAGACAAAACATTATCTGATGTATGGAGATTAAAAAAAAAACAAGCTGTAATTTTGACAAGGACAGTCATGTCAACCTTCCTCTGCAGCAGTTAAGAGTTTCATTCTGAGAGAGTGGGATGCATTTTGATTTAATAGGATTATATTTGTATTAGAAACCAAATCATTCCTCTCAGAGAGCAAGGGGAAGAGTTTATGATTTAAAATTGAAAAAGGCAAGTATTTGGTTGTGGTGTTTGTTTGTTTGTTTGTCCTGTTTTTTTTTGTTTTCTTTAAGTCAATGAGATGATCTTTCTCCTAAGAAAATTTACCCTCCTATTTTTTAGCGTCTCCATTTACAGTCATTATGAGTGGGGTACAGACTTCTAGTGGCTGCACAGTCATCTTTCCACTGATTTTATAAGTGATCTGGCTCAATCTGATTGATTTTTCCTGTTTCGTTGTGAAGCTCTAAAACCAACCCAAAGCAAGACTCTGAGCTTAACTTACTTTAGAAAAACAGTAACAAGAGACAGTTGTTCTGTTTTAGTCTTTAGCCAGTCTGCTGCTAAATCGAATTACTTGGATTCTTGGCTTTGTTGTGGATACTGAGAATAATGGACTTTGAGAAAGTGAGCTTAGAAATAAGGAAACTTTCACGATAGGATATTTAAAGGAACCTTTTGACCTTTTGAAAGATCTCTGACACTCATGAAATAATTTCATGGGATTTGCACTTCTGTCAGAGAAGTCAAGGAGAACCACAGTTAAAGTTACTTAATTACATTAAAAAAAGTTTTGAACCTTGGCATGTTTGCCTGCTTTCATGTTCTGCAAGCTATGCGCTTGGTCAAACTAAGAATTGAATTTGGTAGTAATGATGTAGCTACTCATGTTCCAGAAAAACACCTTTTGTAACAATTCACCTTTTCTCCTACATTCTCCAAGGTGCTTTGCAATGTTGATGAATTGTTTGATCGAGAAGAATTTTCAGCAGCTCCTGATTCTGGCTGGCCTGACTGCTTTAATAGTGGTGTATTTGTCTTCCGACCTTCTTTAAAAACTTACAACTTGCTGCTCCAGTTTGCTGCTGAACATGGCAGCTTTGATGGTAAGAGATGAAATGCAAGAAACTAGATTCAGTTTCTTTGAGCCATTTTCTCCATAACTTCCATGCAGTCTGACAGAACAGAGGAAGGCAGGAGTTCTCTGGGCTTTAAGTAATTGAGCCCCTACAAAAATTTATTGTGCAGATCTTTTCGTCTTACACAGTATTTAAGACTCACTGAATTATTGCAGGCTGCACTTCCCAGAAAAGTACAACGAAGAGAGTCTGAGTCTTGCTCAGTAAGTTTTAATTTTGCTGTCTTTTAGGATAAAGAAATACAGCTGATCTGCTCTGAGGGAGACAAAAATCCCTTCTTACTTCTTTCTTCATAAGTTATAGTAGGACTCCACTTAAATTGAAATTGCATTGAAGTGGATCAGGTATTACTTGCACCTGCTCATCCGGCCATACTGTCAAGTCCAAGTTGCACTCCCATGAATGCCCCAGTATAATTTGCATCCTTGCACATGACATTTTGACATAAATTCAAATATAATTATACATTATGGTAATACTATTTTATATATTCTGTAGGGGGTGATCAAGGCTTGTTGAATAGCTTCTTCAGCAACTGGGCAACAGCAGATATTGGCAAACACTTACCATTCATCTACAACTTAAGCAGTAGTGCAGTATACACCTACGTTCCTGCTTTCCATCAGTAAGTAGTGACGCTTTTGACTGATTGTAAATCTTTGTAGCTTGCTAATAATAAATCATCTACTATAAAAGAGAGAGAGTGAATAATTATGGCATATTCCATTGATCTGAATCTCAGTAGTAGAAAATAGTATATTGTATAAAAATCACGGGTTTAAAAACTTAAAAACAATATGAAAATTTATTGCATCTGGACAGATAGAAAGTCCCAAAGTGAGCTACTATGTCTCATATTCTGCTTCAGAGAAACTTTTCTCTAATTTGAAGGAATGAAGATTACTTTAACATCAGGTTCTAACAGCTTTACTTGGAAAGTTTTTTCGGCCCCCCCCCCCCCCTTTTTTTTTTTTCCTTCCCACTCAGTTCTGTGGGAAATTGTTGGGGTTTTTCACTCTGTTTATTCAGAGAACCTTTTATTATGTTCTTCCTTGGAACAAAATTTGTGCTGGTAATTATATTACATCAGTTAGTTTGGTTAGAGAAACTTTTCTGGCAAAAAGTGAGTGGTTTTTGAGATTTAGTGTGTGCCATGAATTACTTTTACAGTTGCACAAAACATGCAGTGGGGGGTGAGCTGAGGGGGATGTACTTTTTAGTCATTTTCAAAATGGCATCAGTACTAACCAATTCTGTTGATTTGGTGTTTGAAGTGGTTTTCATTCAGTTGTGAGCAAAGCGTGCGAGAAGACTGGAATCAGGACAACATGAGCCTTTCAGTTTCCTTCAGGAACTTTTCCACTAGAATTGGTAGCTAGAAGTAATGGCAATGTTAGCCTTTTCTTTTACTGCGTACCACATGAGATACTATATTTTAGATTAAATGTATTTTTGTTGCAAAGTACTCTCACCACACCAGTGAGAGTAAGCGTATTACTTTAGCTAAAAAATCATCTTTAATGTGTGGTTTTGTATGTTTAATTCCTACAGTTTTGGTAGAGATACCAAAGTTGTTCACTTCTTGGGAGCAACAAAGCCCTGGAACTACAAATACAACCTTCAAACAAAGAGAGTTATGCAAGATGGCACCACCTCTGGATCTTTCCATCAGCTGTCATTTCTTGCCCTCTGGTGGAACATATACAGTGCCAGTATATTGCCGTTGTTAGAAAAGTTTCAGAAGATGGAAGAATCAGAATCTGAGGAATGGAAGGTAACTATCAAGAAGTTTGTGGGCATATACTGGAATCACAGCAAAAGTTCTGAAAATCGTGTTTGCCAGAGGAAATAATTATGTGGGAAAACATGCGTGTCAATTGGTAACAGGTTCCTCTAAAAGCCATCTCTGCTAAACTAACAGTTTAAGAAAGATGTCTGGCACTTGCAGCTTTACTAATTTTTTCCACTCCCTTTCTTAACTGATGAGGAGTTTATATGGAAGTATACATACATACATTCTGCAAATTAAACACAAAATACAGTGCAAGGTAGGCAGAAAAGGTAATCATCTGACTGTGAAACAGACTTCTGACTTTCTGAAGCTAACATGGTTTATACCTCAAACTAGGCCTTGAACTAGAGTAAAACTTACATTTTCAGACCTATGTTATCTTTTACTTTATAAGCATCGTAACAAATTGGATTTGAAAAGTCACTGTTTAATTACATTTAGGGTATTATATGAGTTGCATGTCATCAAGCATTTACTGTACTCTTTACTCTTCTTTTCATCAAAGGAAGTGCAACAATGTATGGTTTTCATGAATAGAATAAAAAGCTGTTGACAAACACTTTCTTGGAAACCTACATTATAAACTAGTAAGTAGAAGCAGGATGCAATTCTTAATTTGGTATCAGATGAGACAATTTAGGTCACTTTTATGCATATATAAATATTTTCTTAGTGTTTGTTGAATATTAACTACATTGAACAAATTGCACAGTCCCATAAAATTAGTTGGACAATTACCATCAAAGCTCTGGAAAGGAATTTGGTTTATAAACCTGATGAGAGATTGGAAGGCAGAGGAATGAGTGGGTGGGTTTTGATCTTGTATTTAATGTGCTCCGTTATTTTATTATTTTTTTTAATTGGGCAGTGAATAAATATTTCAGCTAGGGTAGCATGAAGATAGAAATATCTGCTGGATTAACCCCCCTGATGATGGCAGTGTAATCTTCAGTTAATAAATCTAAATTGAAATATGCTCTGAATCTGTGACCACAATTTTTTTTAAAATGTATTAACTTCAAAGTTGAAAACCACACAAGGAAAAGAATCTGTTCTAAGTCAGATAGTGATTTCCTGCAGAATTTTATTTCATTGATGGGTTGCTCTTGTTTTTGCTAGCATACTTTCAGTGGAGTTGAAATCACACTGAAAAAAGTTGATCCTTCTGTGGCCAATTCTCTGCAAATGCCTGTATTTCCAGAGCAGGCATATGAAGCAGATCCTACACCATGTTCCTCTGAGGAACTCGGTTTCAACGCTGTAAGTATGCTGTTTATTCCTATATTAAGTAACAAAGTAAAATGATATACTGAAATAAGTTTTTTTTTTTTTTTTTTTTGTGTTAGAATTTTCTTGCTATCATCAGAAATAGTCTGAGGAACATTTATTTGCTTCAGGTTTTAGTCATGTCTGCTGGTCATATCCAGAGGTTGAGTTTGCACTGAATCTTACCAAGAAGCTCTATATTGAAAATGGGTCGGTACTTAATAAAACATAATAAAAAGAAGTTCCATTAACCAGTTAATCTTTTGAATATTCACAGTCCTGTAAATGAATATATCTAAAGCTAGAATATTCCCCCCCCCCCCCTTTTTTTTTTTCCTTCCTCAGAAGCATTGACTCTGAAAAGTGTTCCCCAGATTTCTCTGATTTGGGCAGCAAGGAATATCTTAGAAGGAAATCCCTAATGATCACTTCACTGGTTCTTGTTCTTTTGTCACTCTTCATGTATTTGGGTATTTCTATTGCAATGATGCTCCTTATTTTGTGCAGGAATTTAATTGGAGATAGCAGAACAATATTTCTGAGCTGTAAGTTGTTTGTATGATGAGCCACGACATAGCAAGGTAAAACTGAGAGGAAAAAAAAAATAAAAATCAGTGGCATAACGTCATCTGCTGCTTTGATTTGTGGGCCATTCTCTAGAAAGATAAATGTTTTATTATATTCAGCGTTTCTGCACTTCAGATTGTAGTTACTCCATAGAACTGTATGCTCTGCTACCTTCTTTTCCAGCCTGAGTGAAAAGAGGCTGAAGGAAAACTATAAACATTCCAGCCTTACAGTTCAAATATCATTTGCTAATAATTTTAATCTTGTGTGCCTGATGCATCTGTCTGTTGGAAGTACTCAAGTCAAATAAGGAAACGTTTTTAAGATGCTACTTGGGGTAAAAAAAAAAATACATGTTCATTTAAAATACTCTCATGCACATTTAAACATACTGCACTGTAATTAAAAAAGTAAAGCAGGATTGGTTTATCAGAAGATTGTATTAATTTGAAATGAATAGAAAGATTCTGTTCTGAGGAACACCATCATCTGACTGTTGCATAGCTTCAGTAGTCTTGTGTAGACTGTTTTGCTTTTGACTGAAAAGACTTCAGAATGGGGGCTGTCTACTTGTTTATTTTGACATCTAGCAAAGGCAAATATTTGGGGTGGTATTTTTTGGGCAGCCCATTTTGATTTTGTTACAGAGCACAACGTACTGTTCTTGTTCTATACTTACAAAGCTCAAGTTACAGAGCAATCTAGAATCCTGAATCCTTTGGCCTTGTGAATGGTAGGCATCTACTGTGAGCTAGTTTTCCAAGCTGTTCCTGTAATCCCTGAAGAATGCCAGACAGTCTTGCAACTATTTTAAAGATGAGATGAGCTGCTCTCTGGAGATACTTATCCTAGACTGATTATAGTAGGAGCTTAGATTCAGTGCCATTTTGATAGCTAAAGCTACGTGAGATGAATTTTGTCCTTGGTCACATTGTACTCCTGCCCTCTGCTTTCCCAAATCCCAAGACTGAGGTCATTTTGTCTTGTGTGCTTTCTCATTATAAGGAAACTGGAGAGGGAAAAAGTTTTCCTAATAAAAACTCACTGGTTGTATTCTAGCAACCTGTATATGAAACTCAACAGCATGGTTCCAGCATTCATCTCTCTGAACCTGACAGACCTTCCAAGCAACTTGCTTCTCATCCTACATTTCAGGAAACCTCCGAGCTGGTACATGTAGCTTTCTGGATTACACTTCTATTGCTAATTGCATGCATGTTGCTGTTGCCAGCATCATTCTAGGAAATAGTGACTAACTGATACAGCATACCAATAAATTCTTAAATCTTTGAGCAACATAATTAATTTATTAACCTCTTCTGATACTGGCGTACGTTCCATTCAGCTCATTTTACTTCTAGGTTTTAAATGTATAAAAATGTGTGCTATTAATTTTAGCTGTGCAATAACGTAACAGCAATGTTTAACAAGCAGATTGTTTTGTTTGTTTTATTTTATGGTGTGTGGGTGTTTTTTTGTTTCTTTTTTGGGGGGGGGGGAGATGATGTATTGTGAGTCAGACATGGAGCCTAAGCTGCTTGGCTGTGCTTTGTGATCATGCACTGTGTTTTTTTGGGCAGTATGTCATACTTGGGCAGTATGAAAGCCACTTAATGCCAAACTTGGCATTAATGGGGTCACAGGGTGTCCGGGAACTGAATCTTTTAAGGTGCACAACATATTTTGCCACTGAGGAAAATATGAAGTGCTATGGTGAAAGTCTTAAAAGCTAAGAAACAACTTGACAGGTGAAAGGGTAGCTCTTCTATGGTCAGGGGTGTTTAGGCCCTAGCTAAAATTAATTTATGAAAATGTGATGATTACTGTTCTGTTAATAGCATCCAAGGCTGTTGATAATCCTTGCTACAGGTTGAAAAGAAAAAAAAAAAAAAAAAAAAAGGTATCTTACTGCATTTTTGCAGTTATGTATTTACATACCCTAAGAACTAATAATGTGTATATAGATACATGCACACACATTTGCATATATAGAGTATAAACATGCTCTTCAGAGTGTTTATCCATCTTTCAAGTCATGTACAGACTGGATCCCAAGCAAGGATGGGATTCCCACATAGGAAGGATGTGATTGTCTAAAATCTTAGCATAATGTTTAGAGAGCAAAATACGTTATTTAGTCTTTGAGTACCAGCCTTATGCAAGGCCTGCTCCCCAAATTGGCACAGGCCTTGCATATAATGGACATTGCTGGGCATTTAGGCGGTTTAAGCCTAATAACTGATCAGTTCTGGACATAGTTTTCCTTTTTATTTGGTTGAAATAATTACTAATATGTTATGCATTTGTGCACCTATCTTTGTGCGCTTCATCTTGAACCAGGGTACAGAATTTTGGAGTGTCATTCAACATTTATTAGTTACCATTCTAACAAATAATGTCAGTCTTAGAATTAATTAATTTACTTGAGCTAATGTGGCTCATGTGATAAATAGTACAACCTCACTGGAGTTCAAATAAAATACATGATCAAAAAATACGGGAACTTACGCTCCAATGGAAGTCTGTTGAAGACAATGCTCAATTCTCATTGTATTGTTGCTGAGTGCCAGGCTTTGACTTCAGAGAGGTAAAATAAATACTTCATATGTTCAAAGATGCTAAAGCAATTAGTTAGAAGCATAGAAGAATTGGGAAAATGAGATAGATGGTTTGTTTGTTTTTGTTTTTGCTTTTGCTTGCTTGCTTCTTTTAACTGGCACTTTATAAAGCAGAAATTTTGATTTTTAAGGTTTAATTTCACAGCACTGAAGTGAAAACAATCAAGTGACTGCTTTCCTACTGTTCTTCCCACAGAATGAGATTGCATCTTCTGTTTCAGAGCTCTCTATTCACCTCAAACGTGAAGAACCAAATCCAGAAGATGAACGGAGAAAATGGGAAGAAGGGCGTATGGACTATATGGGAAAAGATGCTTTTGAACATATCAAAAAGAAGTTGGACACATTTTTACTCTAAGATGAAGTGAACTGTAATGACTATCATGTTTCTTCTGTAAATAGAACCTTGAATATTTGGATATCTTCATAGTTCATTTGACACCAAAGCTGATGGAAGACTAACAGAGATAGACTCTTGTTTTGTTGTTTCTTTTTTTTTTTTTTAATGGTTACGTGTGCCTCAACTTTATTGTTCTCTCATAGTGCCTTCTGAGATATAATGAATGATATTTTCTGAGTATGAAACTCTCATATTTATCACTTCTCCCCACTGTTCTGCATAAGTACTGCACAGGAACAGTTGTAAGTGAAGTGTATTGAAAGTTGAGTTTATTTTACATACTCTTACCTCTTAACGAGAGACTGCAAAAACTTCTTAAATTAAAACTTTCTTCTTGAAACCAAGTTAATGATTCCAAGGGCAACCATGGTGTAGACTTCAATGTGAGAGAAAAGTAAGAAGATGAAATTCTGGCCTCATATAAGTCTGTGACAAAACCTTTTCATTTAAGTATAATTAGGTAAAGAGTAAATCAGGACTTCGAGGTCGCTACTGGATACTCTTACTGTTTTATATGGAAACTGCTCAAGTAGCAGTGTGATGAAAAGATGTCTTAAGGTAGTCTTAAGACAGACTGAAAATGCGTACTAACCTTTTATATTGTTGCTATAGGATGCCGTTCGTGCGTGTTTGTTTTTTTTTTTAAATATATGTTAGTTTTTACTTCCGTATTCAGCGTTGCATAGTTAGAGAAAGAAATGCTGACTGACACTATGGTGTAAACTTTTCTGGTGCTTTATACTGTTTACAGTACTCTGACTGCAGTTGACAAAGGCATTCTTCTCATTTAATATGGTTGCTCCAGTTTGAGTGCAACTGACATAGTTAGTCCTTGTTTTAGTAAACAGGCTCTTTGAAGATCTTTTAAACAATAGCTGTGTGTGGGAACTAAAAAATCAGAGTGTAGTTTCAGATAAATCTATTGATGAGACTCCCTTTTATTAAGTGTACTTAGAAGGATTGCTTTATGAATTTTGAGTCTTCAAATATGAGTGGTCTTGGCAGGTTTTTTTTGACAAACAAGAAAGAAACACTTTGAAAGAAAGAAGCTTGATAGACATGCTAATGTGGTAACAGATTTGATACAGTTATGCATAATGCTGCTAAGTCTTCAAATGAGAATTCTGCAGTGCTGATCTAGGATCTGAAGTGTATTCCGGCCTTGATTTGTCACCAATTTTGGTACAGATAATCAAATGAAATAACTTGGGAATTCTGTTCAACAGCCAGTCGTGTAATGTTAAGCATCACAGAATCACAGAATGGCCTGGGTTGAAAAGGACTGCAATGATCACCCAGTTTCAGCCCCCCTGCTATGTGCAGGGTCGCTAAACACCAGACCAGGCTGCCCAGAGCCACATCCAGCCTGGCCTTCAATGCCTCCAGGGGTGGGACATCCACAGCATCCTTGACCTGTTCCAGTGTGTCACCACCCTCTGAGTGAAAAAATTAATCCGAATATCTATTGCTGTAAATGTTAATGAAGAAAAAGGTGGGGTAGGAGAGAGAATTTTTTTCTTTCTCCATCAAAAAAAGGTTGAAAAGAAGAGAAATAACTTGCACAAATTAGGAAAGGAGCAAAAGAGTCAGAAGGTCCCTCGAAGGCAGAATAGTGATCTGAGTTTTTTAGAGTTATATCCCACTGTTAACAACAGTGTCATTACTTTTACTTCTGGGGCTATTTCTGATTTGTCAAATTCTTTATTTCCCATTTATTCTGAGTACTCCTAAGGTGGGAATTGTGGGTCTCTCTCTTTGGTTGGTCTCTTGAAGTTGGTCTTGTAGTCGAAGTTAGGTGTTTAAAGTCACTGAAGTTGAAGAGAAAGATGTCCAGAAGATGATTCATATAAGTTTCTCCATTAATCATAAAAGGACCTATGATAAATTACTTTCTGTTGGCAGGGAACCTTTATATGAAAGTATAAAGGCAGGCACTTTCTGCATTTTGTTTTGAGTGTCCCAGTGCAGCACTACATGGAGATTATACTAGCTGCAGTGTAGTGGCATTTGATTTGTTAATTATTTCTTATTGCAGTAACTTGTGCACTTCTGAGGAAGTCTTCCATTTTCTAAGAATTATTGCTAGTACAATTCAAACAGTTCCTGAAAACTGTATACAACAGTAGGTGACCATGTGAACTCATGTTTCATGCAGCTGTAATTCTGCAATAACTACTAGATCTTACTGCATACATTAATATAGATTATGGGAAAAAATTACTAACGTGAAATCTATAATTGAAAAGTTTTAAAGTAGACATATGACTGTAGTAAAAGGAGCTGTTATGGAACGCATTGGAAAGTGTTAAGATGTAGAATGGTACCGTGTGTGGATTATGCAATGTTTTGCAAAGAAATGTAGCAGAATAATGTCATGGAAATAAAGTAGAAGTGGAAATGGAAAGGTTGTATGAAGTTGTGCTCATCGAATGATGCATGGTTACAGATTATATTGTGCCAGGGCGTGCTATTTGTGACTGACTGGTTACCTTAATGGTTTGGGTTTTTTTTTTCATTTTATTAAATTGCTTGTCAGACATTCGTACCACCAGCTGAGGAGAAATAGGAGATGCAGATTACAATTCTACAGACATATGTAATAGAAGCATTACAATCTTTCTTGAATAAGTACCAAAGTAGTTGAGTTGCAGTTTCCCAGAAAAATATAACTGTGCTTAAAAGCTTTGCCCAAGTTTTTGTGCATTGTCTTCATTCAAGAAATCATTTACAAATAATGTTGTATCTTAGTGGATTCTTGCACTGTAATGCCTCCAGAGAGTGAGAAGGGACAAACTTTTCAGTGTATCCAGAATTTGCATGTGCTGTACTTTGAGCAGCTTCCTTTGATCTTTGTGGACATCATTTTACAACTGTGGGGCCACAAGCAGGTTTGGAGAGCGTTACAGGCAGCACATTACAAACTCTGTGGATCATGGCGAAGTCAAAACATGACTTGGAAATCACGTTCAAACTAAACCTCACCCAAAATTTCTTACACATTAAATTGTGGGTAGCCTCAGGTACTTCTAGGGTAAAGCAATTTAAAAAAAACAAACTTTCTGGCGCTGCCACTGGTTCCTAAAGAAGAATTTGTCCAGGCCCTGATGACCCAAGAAGCAGCTGTAAGGGCTTTGAAAGGCCAAACTCTGATGTGGTATAGTGTGGAAGACTTAAACGGGTTGAGTTAAAATCAAAATATGCTTATTCTCTCTTGTTTTGTCCTGGGCTTAATTATTTACAGAAAGACTTAAAAGGTAGTTTTATTTGCAAAATTATTGAGTGCTCTTTGTATAATAAACAGGAGATAGTGTGGGTGAGCCACAAGGAGAATTCTTGAAAATCTTAGACGAGTGGGTTGATGCACTTTCCAAGCCTACTGGAAAAGGAGGTGGTTATTCTTGTAATGTCCCTGCTTACTTCAAAGTGTCTAGTGAGGACATTTCCACTTGGTTGTTCTTTTGGAAAAGAGGAGATTTCTTTGTCTCTCTGGCTCAGTCAGCTCGCGTGAGTTACGTCTTGTAAGGCTGATATTTGGAGAAAAAAACCCACACACTTATTTATTTCTTTGCAGTGATTTTTTCTGCCCATGAATATGAGACTGGCCTACTAGCAGGTGGCTTTATACATCTGCATGCTCCTGAAAATCTCCACAAGTCTGTCTATTTATTCCTTAATAAATTTTGTTGTTTTGCTGAGCTAAACTGTTCTGATTCATATGATTTTGAAAATAACATGAGATGGGCCTGTTGTCTTAATTTATACCTCTAATGATATTATCATTGCGTGAGAGTATTTAGCACAGTCTATAATAAATGTTTTATATACTTGTTAGCTTTTTTCCCCATAGTTTTAATCACTGTAGAGTTCTGTTTCTGTGATTTCATGATTTTTAAATCGGCCCTGAAATAAGAATTGACTGCTTGGCATTTTAGTTAGCCTATAGAAATAAATGTCAGTTAATATTTGTCATTGAAATACCTTGCTTTTTCAGTGTATGGCTAACAAAGTGCTTCAGTTGAAATTCTGTTCATCCAGAGCTGGCTGGCTGGCTGATAAATAAGTTTTTTTGGTACCAAAATTTAGAAGGGACAACACCTAAGCAGTGTCTTACCTCCTGGTATAAACTTCCCACTCGTAAGAGCTATAGCAAAGGTAATTAAAAAGAAAACAGTTTAATTACAGTGATATATAATACTATGAATACAGCGGGGGGGGGGAGCAGAGTTGCAAGTCTTATCCTTACCTTTGCTTTGGGTGTTATCAGGACTGTCAGAAAACAGGGAAAAGAATGTAATTCCAAGAGAGTCAGATTTTGTTTTGTGGTTATTTTAAAATTTGTATTTATTTTCCCACCCGGGAATGACAGAACATGAACTGCTTGGTGATGTGTTTGTTCCTTTTTATGGGACTATACATGCTTCTGAGCCATGATACATGTAGATGGTTCTCCTTAGATATATATCAGAAACAAGTGATTCTTTCTTTTAGGCTTAAAGACCTATGATTTTTCAAAGCCTACTCATATTATTAAATATATGGAACAAAAGTGATTGCTTGTGGTGGGTGGGTGTCTGTATTTCATAACTTCCTTGAATTGTTCCAGTAGCTTTTGGCTTATAGACACATGGCAGAACAGGTCTTTCAGCCTGTTCCTCCAGCCAAGGTCATTCAGAATCACAAGCACAAGTATTTTTATTCCACTTCTTCCTTTCCCTCACTTTTGTAAATGAGTTGCCCCACAAAATTCAAGCTGGATAAAGTTTGAGCTGAAATTGCTTTTCTCAGCTTATCTGTTACAAAATTATTTTGCACTCTCAGATGATGGGATCTAGTGATTTTTGCACTGGCATTCCTCTGGGTTGCACCAGAGAGCAAATTGGCATGTTTGAGGTATTTGAATTTGAAGTGAGTTACTTTAGAAGCTTATTGTCTCACTGTTGTGAGACTCAGCAATTACTTTGTTGAGTCAAACTAGCGTAGAGATTCCAAATGTAATTTAATAATGATCAAACTATTTAGATAGAAGTCAGGAATACAGCAGGAATGTCAAACGTTTGTACAGTTCAGCCACAGCTCTTTCAATAGGAACACTTATAATGTTGCTCCCCTCTGCTCAGAGTCTGTAGTTAACTACATGTAGGTGCATTCGCCTGAGGTTAACATAGCCTTGGTGATTTGTCACTTGTCTCATCACTGCCTATTAGGTGAGCTTATGTAGCACTTCTTCCTTCTACAAAGGGAGAAGCCATGACAAAACAAGGGAGACACCATGATGTTTATTTATGTTCAGAAGGTCATTATAGATTGTTTTTAAATAAAACCTAGGTAACTGAGTATTTTTCAGTGTTACTCAGATGCAAGTGTGCTTTGTAACGTCTGCGGCTAGGATCTGCAGGGAACAGAATAATTGACCTGTTTCTAATTCTGGTAATAATTTACCATGCCTCTACTGTGAAACAAAGAGCAGGCTTGAGTGATGGATGACCTCCTATATAAGCCAATGCAAATCCCCTCTTCTCATGTTCTAGCCTGCCTTTATCCTGGGGTCAGAAATGTTCACGCTGTGCTTGGAGATGTGCACAGGGGTTTTGTGGATGCACTGGGCTTCCCAGTCTGTCCACAGCACTGTGTCCCTATGCTTGTATGACATGTTGCTACTTGAATACCTCCTGCCATTAGTCCTGGCCCAGCCTGTGACTGGGCACGTTCCTGTGTATAACTAGATAGGCAGGGTAAGGAGGGTGCTGGGGTGAGCTGAGAACAAGCTTATGCTTAACTGGCAATGTAGATGTTATTGACAGGCTGGCTTGATTCTGGAAAACAGCTTTTGGCTCTGTTCCTCACTTAGCAGCAAGATTTCTCCTCCATCCCAGAATCGGCCAGACTAGCTTTAAAATGCCTGGTCTTTTATGCTATGTATTTTCTCTTGTTATGAATCCAGTGAAGTACAGCTGCTCTGGTTTCAACCCTTGTCAGACACAGAAAAATGTCAAGTCTTTTGACAGGTTCTCAGCAAAGCTGATGTAGACCTAAATGCTATCAAGCTGTAAGAACAAATGTATTTTTAGATACTTCTGTCAAACCTGCCATTGAACTGTCCTAGCAGTTCACTGTCAGATTAGCTTTTTGATTTTTGCAGAGTAATGTCTGCATAACTTCCTTGGTGTCCTTTTAGAGGAAAGATACCAACAGGAAATAACATGAAGAAATGCTTGTTTGGAGACTGTTTGGTACTGCATCATGGTCACAACCTATGCTGTTTAGAACAAAAGAACATTGTGACTTAGCACACAGGTGACATCCATGCAGGGGATATAA